GTTTTATCTCATGTTTCCGTCATCTAGTTATAGTGTGGCAGTGGAAATAGTCAATTAGTGTATGGTATTGGTTTGAAATTTGACCAAACTCTGGGAGACAGTGGAAGACAGAAGGGCCTGGCGTGCTGTGGTCCATGGGGTTACGAAGAGTCAGACACTACTTAATTACGAACCAACAACAAATCAGTTTGAATGGTGGAGTAAAGAAGTGAAAATTTAGTCTATTGATACAGAGCTATTGCTAGTCAAAAAATCTGGAGATCTGGGAGAATATGTGCTGAACTCTTCCTTGAAAGTAAATGTGTGTTGCTGGAAGTACTCCCAGGTCTGACATCCTCCCTGGATATTTCCAGAGATACAGCCATGAAACAGAATGGTTTCCAGTTGGCAAAGGTGTCAGACAAAGATGTATTTTATCTCCCTGGCTGTTCGGTTATGTGCCTAATATATCATTCAGAAAAATTAGATTCAGGTGAAAAGGAGTGAAAATTGATGGAAGAAACAATAATTTAGGATGTGCAAGAAACCTGGCAGTGTCTTGAAATGACTGCTAATGAAAGGTAATGGCTGCTTATAAAAGTTTTTAAAAGTGCAAAACCAGGATATTGCTGAACACTAAAAAGATGAAAATCATGACTACAGAAGAAAATATGAAAATCATGACTTGCATAATATAAGTTGTTGATAGTGAAGAAATAGAAATAGTTGACAATTGACGAATTTCTACCATTCTTCAGTCATCAATCCAGATAGAGACTGTAGATTGGAAGAAGACTGAGAATTTAAGAACAGCTTTGAAGGGACAATAAACGTTTATTAAAAGTGACTGAACAGCCAGGGAGATAAAATGTTGCTGGAGAACAAGGCCACAATAATCTGTATTCTCATACCTAATCACTGTGTACAAGTGTAAACGATGGACAACAAAAAGAGTTGACAAGAAAAAAGAGTTCATTCAAATCAGTTCATTTATTTGAAATGTGGTGTTGGAGGGTAAGTATACGTTGGACCACAGGAGAGACAAATATGTTCAAGATCACAAGCAGCCTGAAATCTCACCAAGCTAAATGGCTAAATTAAATCTGTCATGCTTTGGACATACTGCCAAGAATCCTATCAGCTCTATTCACCAATATTCAGTGGTATATATTTCAATGGCAAATTGTTACAAGTTAAAAGGCTAACAGGCATTTGCTGTTGCGTACCAGTCATGTATCATGGTGTGCAATGGCAAATACTTACAATAATGATGATTTGATAACTTCTGGAAATATAACCATTAAATTTACAGTGGCAAAGTTACACTGGCATTATATAATGGAATTCTGGCCAGTATGAGAAGACATGTCTCACTAAAAAAAGACAACAATGCTAGAAAAAGCTGAAGGCAATAGGGAAAAGGAAGAACTTAACACTAAGTGAACTGACTCAGTAAAGGAAGCCACATCCTTTAGTTTTCAGGGCTCAGCAGTCTTTTAACATAAAGCGCTTTTGCTGGCAATACTTTTGAAGTTATGAGTTTAGGTGTTGCATAATTTGTGAAGTACTTGATGGTACATAAAAACAACAGCTATATTAGCCTGACTTAGGAAAAACAACTGCAAATCTTGTGGCACCTTGCTAGCTTTATTCCTACTGAGTGGTGAAGCTTAACTTCACTGACATAAGTTTGCACTAAAGATGGAACACTTTGTATTTGAATATGAATTGCGACACCAGTTTGCTCCCTAGAACCAGCCAGGTCCACTCATCAGGCTCCGTGTGATGTAGCGCACTTCTGTTTGTGTCATCACACCAAACTCAGAAGGAACCCAGCCAGCGCTTCACTGTGCAACCGACCACTGATCAACTGGGCAGTAAGACTCCCCATCCTGCCTCTGTGCAGCAGTGGTTGACTGCATGGAGCAGTGGCCAGGCTACTTTCGTAATTTGTGTGATGACAAAGCCAAAGGAGTGCCGGGCCAAGCCCAGTGAGTGGACTTGGCTGGTTCTGGGGGAGGGAATTGGGTCCATGTCTAGTTTGCACACACTGAAGCCTACCTCTTCAGATAGCGTAACTTCATGAGAGGGGTCACGGCGGACCTGGCTAGCGCTCCTGTCGACGCTCTGGTTGATAACTAGTCCACCTTCGCAACCAGGGCTATAGACACGATCGCGCCTAAACGCCCTCCCCGTCATAGAGCTCGACCAGCGCCCTGGTTTAATCAGGAGCTTCGAGCGCTGAAGCGACATAGGAGAAGGCTAGAGCGTAGGTGGAGGAAGAACCCGACGGATTATAATAGGATAGCTGTCAGGGTCGCAACTAATCTTTACCTGTCTAAGGTAAAGGCTGCTTGTCGAACTTACTTCGCTAACCGGATAAGCGAAGCGTCCAACCAGCAGGCGGAGTTATTCCGTATAGTCCGTGACCTATCCGGAACTGGTCCAGATGATAAGCCTCCCCCTAGTTTTTCACCTGACCAGTTTGCAGCCTTTTTAAAATCTAAAGTGGAGGCCATCCGACGGGACCTCTCTCCTTTTTTGAACACAGTGAGTCGAGCAGA